GTCTATCATAGTACCCCACTGTGCCAGCCAAAGGTTAACAGAAATGGGTCGATGTCTTAATAGTTTTTATGTCTATTAATGTAAAAATATAGAGATTAAAGCTTTTTTGTGAATTAAGCTTCAGCAATGCTCCGGATAATTACTAAAATCTTATTCCACATTTAATAGTAAGTGAATTTTACGTAGAGAAAAACGTAACTTACGATTTAGTATACATATATTACAAAGGTAACAAATATTTAAAAAATTATAAAATTGTAAAAAATAATCTTTCGATATTTTTCTAAAAATAAATCGAAAACATTAGATATACCTCTAGAATAACGATATCATAAGGAGGATCTTGTGGTGGATTCTTGATCAGCTTTTGTATCTTTGGATAGTTCAACACAGTGCAAATGTTGTTTCCGGCCATCTGAACTAAAGTGGCCATAGACGGGGTGTTTGATGAGAAGCTTTGTACTTTGTATCGCGGTCATATTGTTCGTAACTAGTGGCATATTGTCTTTTAGGCTGATATCATTGTAATTAAGTATTGGTTTCTTCATCGAAAAATGCGAAACCACATCTACTTGATGACCACGTCTCGCCAATTCTTTCATCAGTACCTCTTGCATGTTCCAAAGATTCTTGCCATTTAATGGGAATTAATATACCCAGAATTCGGTAACGGCTAGTGATTTGGTCAAAAGCCAAAATTACAAGAAAAACCAATAGCAGCATTCATTTTAATCTACTGAACTTCCGATCAGGTTCTGTGTCAATACATGTTATCCGAATGCTTGTCATGATTACTGATCACACTTCACCTGGAGGAAACATTAGTTAACTAAAATAAAAACAAGATGACCCGTTTTTATATAAAGAATTGATGAAAAAGAGATGTTTTTTAGATTATAGTTGTGATGTTTTATACATACTACGTAATTAGATTAATAATTTGTTAATTTAAATGTTCACGTCCGTAAATTATTGTAATGTCATCATGTGTAATGAATGTGATGTAATGTACGTTGGACAGACGAGTAGACAATTAAAAACAAGAATTTCAGAACATCGAAACCACATTAGATAGAACACATCTACTCGATCTGTCATAATGGACCATAGATTGGAATTTAATCATGAATTTCTTTATCGAGATTTGTCAGGACTAAGTATTGACTATGAATGTATCACATTAATTTGTCATCGAGGTGATAACCACAGTTCCGAAATTAACATTGTGTAAGACACACAGCATGAGTACTGTCATGGTGAATTAAATTTCAACGAGAGAATGTTTGAATACTTATTTATTATAATTAAATATAATGGTCTTTATAGAATATCGATTTTGCAAACATTCGATCCGTCAATCTGTTGTCAGCATATTCGTTCTCTCGGAGAGTTACTCATTGACAAACACACTACAAGATAGCGAAGTAATTTTTGTAACAGCTATACCACGGACATTATTACATCTGAAGAAGGCTCAATACAGGAGCCGAAACATGTCATGTATGCATATTTAATAATATTCAGAATGTTTTAATATACAGAAAAATTTAAATTGTAAGTTTCGTTGACTCTCAGATTTGCCCTTGTTATCATCCTCTATTGTTTCAACATCGAGAGATTTGTTTATATTTTAATTCTATTGTTATTTATGTATTTTGATATGTATTATATATTGCCTAATAATGTATTTTGTCAAATACATCATTATGCAATTAAGAAATGAACGTTTTCATAACCATTTTAGTTATTATTTGTTGCGCGAATTTGTGAATAACGCGGCATTTTTAATTATATGCATAATGAAAAGAAACTATAAGATTAGACTATGTTTAGAACTTTTTACCCGAGTGCTCTGGTACGTCATTCTATCTTTATCGTTCATTAGACGTAAAATCAGGATGAAGTCACACATTTTAGCACTTGGGTCAAGTTTCTGAATGCATTCCTACTCACTCTTTGATAACACGACAATTTTGTATCAAATTATATCAATTGACGAAAGAGATGATTTGGTGCTCCATGACACATCGCTTGTTGTTTGAGGTCTTGTAAAGAAGGTCTTTCACAAGTTCGTTGGCAACCAGTTGGTTATGAATACTAACCGATCTCTTGCTGGAGGAAAGATATATGATAACGGACATGAGTGGTGATGGTAATTGACGCCTCAAGCATCACGAACCAAACGTGATATATCTGTCAAAGTCCATCTATGCGAAAACTTTGGATATACATATATATATATATATATATGGGACGTTTCACGTTAACGGGGACAAGTGTCTGGGTAAAATTTTGAAGTCGAAATAAAAGGGCTTAAAATTTTCGTTTTTATAAGTAAGGTTTACAAATTAGTTCGGTCCGTTTTTTGTATTCAAAAATGCATTTAATTCAAAACAAAATGAATGAACAGATTAATTAAAGTATTGTCCATCGCTGGCTACTACTTTTTCCCATCTCTCAGGCAATTTTCGAATTCTATCTCGAAAAAATGACTCGTCTTTATATTAGCGATTAGCTTTTGGAAAATGGAACCGAACTAATTTGTACTCCCAAAAATATTTTTTTATTATTTTCATAAAACACTCAAAATTTAATAGTTTATTATGCAAATTTTTTTACTATTACATAGATATGATACAGAATAAACTTAGAACAGCAAATGTGAATAAATATTTATAGATATAAATTGTGTATAAAGATACAAGTTTAAAGTGGATATTATGTTCTAAGATATAGATATAATATCTTAGAATATAATGTTCCCTTTATGATATATGTACATATATATATATATATATATATATATGTGCATCTGGTGAGATGTGAAGGGTGTGCTATGTTTTGAGCTGCTCCACCAGAATGAAACGGTTAACAGTGATCGCTACAGTCAACAATTGATCCGTTTAAATCAAGAAATCGAACGAAATCGTCCATTTACTGGCAAAGGAAAACGTCCCGTGAAATTGCTTCATGACAACATTAGGCCTCATGTTGGTAAACCTGTAAAGGAAACGTTACTAGCGCTTGATTGGGAAATTCTACCGCACCCCCGGCGTATAGCCCAGACATAGTCCCTTCAAATTATCATTTATTCCGGTCAATGCAAAATGCTTTGTCCGGTGTACACTTTCGAGCATTTGAAGAAGTGCGAAAATGGGTGAATACTATAATTTTATTGTATCGAAAGACGAAACCTTTTTCACTTCTGGAATTCGCAAGCTGCTTGGAAGATGGCTAAAGGTAATAGATATAATGACGGGGATTATTTTGATAATTAAATGTGTTTTCGTTTCTAAATAAATAAATATTAAATTTCGTTAAAAACGCTTTAAAACTTATTTTTACATCTAATAAATTCACAATCAGAGAAGATATAAATTACCTAAATACTTACAGCTAAATATATTAAACATTCGAAATAATCAAAAGTTCAATTGTATAATAACAAAATTCGGATTTATATGATCTGAATCATTTTGTTTGTATTTTTTGACTATGCAATTAGTGTCTGACATTTAACTTTGTTACAGAAATTTCTTATTTTATAAAATAGACATTCCGTGTCCGAAATACGTATAAATGTTTATATGAATAGATAAACAAAATTTTTGTAAAGTAAACGGACACAAAAACATTAATCTTAAAAAAATGTATCTTATTTTTATAACATTAATTTTACAGAATGTACACTTATATATTTATGTTCGTAGAATTCGAGTGGAAAATGTTTTGTACTGCTTTTTCAGTTATTCTTTTTGTATGATCGCGGTTGTGTCATTCTCTCAGATTATAATCATACACGAGGGAAAGAAGAAAGTAATTTATTTTCAATAAAAGTTGACGGAATTGCAAGAGATCTTGGATGGAATATGCGTTCTATCAACGTTTCTTCAAAACTCGCAGGATCTTATGAACAAATGCAAACTTTCTCGAGTTTATAACCACGATGGAATCCCTTAAACGTGATTTCGCATTAATACACAGTTTAAAGTTAGTTCACCTTTTGTAAATAGGTTTTTATGCTCTTCCTATACATTTCGTTTATGTGTGTGTATGTATAAAACATATGGAGAAAATGACATAAAGAAAACGATCAAGATATATTATAATAAAACGCGATATTTCTACATATTTTAATGTTGCGTCCAAACTATCGAGTCGAAACGCGAGCCGAGCCGAGCCGAGCCGAGCCTCGAGTTGATGAGCTTTGAACCGAAATTATCGAGCTGAACTTTGAGTCGAAATCAAATCGAGCTTTAACCAAATTTCACGAGCGTCGCAAGCGATTCATATTGTAGGTACGTGAATTTAATTATCTGTTTTATATAATTAAATATATGCGCATATAAAATGGACAATAATAATACAAATAGCTGCTGTTCTCGTTTGTTCTGCTCGGCTTAAAGCTTGCGGCTCGCGACTCGGCTTGGTTCGAGACTCGGCTCGAGGTTCGGCTCGCGTTTCGGCTCAATAGTCTGGACGCAGCTTAATATTCTATTTCAATTATAAATTTATATAATATGTAGAAGTACTTTTATTATATTTTATAATGTACGATATACTCTTTTAAATATAAATTATCAAATTATATGGGCATTTGGGAGAGGAGGTAATAATTTGTAAAAACGCGAATTTACTTTGAATTTGTTCTACCCTCATAAACGAGAAGGTTTTATGAGTCTCTTGTGAATTTTATGTATATAGGATATGTGCTTTTGTCGACATATATCCTTAGTTCTTTAGTGATGAGTAATATGTTACAAGTTCTTCTTTTGACGATCATCGTATATATTTCATGAGAAAATTTAACCAATTTGTCGTAGTCAACGCGGTGCTATTTATGATAGTTTCTTTGCGGGGCCATTATATCGCTTCGCAATTTCTTATATATCGAGGTTTAATCTCGGCATACTATTAAATGCTAGCAAACAAGTTACGCGTTTTATGAAAGCATTGGTCTATCATCCTGTAATAACTTTCTGTTCAAATTCTTATTTCAGAATTATATTGTCGACTCACTTTCGATGGATGGTCCTGTTGGCCGAATACTGCAGCAGGATCAACAGCTTATATACCATGTCCTGACTTTATCACTGGATTCGATGCATCGCGTAAGTACGTTAGTAGCTATAGAAATGCGATAATTAATCATGCTATCGTTTTTTCTTTTTTGATAAATGATTAATTGTTACTACTAGTGTGATTTTGTAATTGGAATATTACTTGCGTCAGTAAAATGAGTCTTATTTATGTAACTAATATCGCAACAATTTTTTATATTCTTTCAAAAACGTTCGAAGTCATACATCTCAGCATTTTTTATTTCTTTTATCTTATATTTTTATCCTTTTACTTTTTTTCTCGCCTCCCCCTCCCTCTTATATTAATAATAATAATGAATGACTTGCACTTTTATATGATTTTATAATAAATAATTTGATAATTTTATCTTTAGTAAAGATGAAGTACTTTTATCAGTCCATTTACTTATTATCAGTTATCTCCATTTGGTTTCGCAAAATGACTATAAACTATATTTATAGTCTATAAATCGTGAAAGAGAGAGAGAGAGAGAAATTTAGATTAGAATTCTCTCTGCTTTCCCATATTCGTTGATACATCAACGATATATTTAACCTTTTGATCACCATTCAACAATATTATTTTTGTCGATACTAATATAGATACACATAAATATCGTTTGATCTATTAGAAATTATTTTAAAAGTTTCGAAAACCGCCTACTGTAGAGTAGATAGGATACAAATTTTCGAGATTTTATCGACTCGGGGATTATTTTATTTGTATGTTTATATATATATATATATTTTTTTTTTTGTACAAATCGGAAATAATCATTATAATAACGCCAGACTTAAGGAAAAGTTGATACATTGAAATAAAGTGAATAAAATCCTTATTTGCATCATTATGGCGTTGCGTTTTATCGCCTCGAGTAGTATGAAAAATAGAAAGAATTACTCGTATAGCGATTTAACCGCTTCGAGTAATAATGGAAAATATCATCCATTAATTATATTCTTGATATTTTTAACTCTCAACATCCTAGACTTCAGTTCACTATGGAAGTGTGGGGTGACAGATTTTATGGATGTCACAGTTATTAGGGATAATGAATTGATAGAGTCCGATTGGTATCATAAGCCTACATTCTTGGGTAGATATTTGAATTTTTGGTCACAGCATTTGGTTTCACAAAAGATAGGTTCAAGTGGGGTTAGTTGATAGAGTAGTTCTATTTTCGAATCCTAAATTTTATTTTGATAATTTTTGTTTCATAGTAGTCTTATTAAAGAATGATTATCCACTAAAATTTATATTTGAGAATATTAACAATCGTTTGAAGAATATTATTATGGCCGGAAATAGGACGAGTGTTGTTGAGGAAATATTCAGGATGTGGTGCAATCTTCATGGTTCACCGTGCCTTTCGTAAGAAATATTATTGAAAAGTTCAACAGATTGAATAATAATCATTTGAGGGTGTCATATTATAGTAGTAATAAATTGCGTGAATTTATTACTACTATAATAAAGGTGCATAAAAATTCTTTGCCGTATGAAAAGAAATCAGGAGTTGTTTATAAAATTTCTTGTAAGAATTGCGATGCAAGTTACGTGGGACAAACGTGTAGACAGCTGAAGCTCGAGAATCACGGAACATAAGAATCGTATATGATGGCTCACGTATATAAAATTTACACATAATTTTAATGAACATTTGCGATCCAGCTTTGACCGTTAGTGGCTTTGACCGTTATTGGTTTCCTTCTTCTTGTAAGTTTATTATTTTTTTCTTTTTACTATATTCTTTGTTTATCTTCTTATTTCCCTTTATGTAATATGTATTGGAATTAACATCAGATGTGATTTCTTAATATCTTAAACTGTGGTGGAGCTCACCATGATAAAGTATTTCTTGATCCCTTTTTAGTTTTATTTTTATTTATGTTCGCATTTTCTCTGAAGAAGACTCAAAAATGAGCCGAAACATATAAGCTTATCTTTTGTAATAAAGAATATTTGTAATACATTAGCAATTGCGTAAAGTTATCTGACTCCTAGTGCTCTTTCTCTCCGAGTTTATATTTGATTTATACAGGAGTTTTTGTTATCTAAATTTATTATACGTCATGAATATAATAATTTTTTTCTTAATTTCATTACCTCTAGCATCTCTACGGGAAGGTAGTTTTAAGATGAAAAAAAGTATTTTTGAAAATTTGCTACAGAGAATATTTATTGTAAATGTTTATTTTTAAACAAAGAAAAAAAGATGCTAAAAGAAAATTAAATTTTTATAAATTAAATTTAAGATAACACACATTAAATACATCAGATAACGTTAGAATATTTTTTAAAGATTAATAATATGTTTTTTAAAGACTTTCCCAATCCCAGCGTTCCTTTCCTTTACGAAACGTTTTCATTTGTAGATTTAAATCAATATTTAAATAATTGTAGTCTTTGTTTTGCGAATCAGTTAGTGGTAACCATAAATTTGTAGTAGGTGTTGGATTTCTAAAAATTAGTTTGAATTAATATAGATACGTTTATAGTTACAATTAATAAATGTTTGTCAAATTTGTGTAAAATAAGAAAAAAAATTCTTGTACCCTGTTTTAGCAAAATCCGTCCACATTTGCACAAAATAATTTAATATTTTGTAATCTTTTGAACCAGGTTTATAACACAATTGATGAACCGTTTTTGCAATTTCTGGGAAAAATAAGAAACCTATATCCTCTGTATGACTCACTCCTGCAAAATATTGTTATATTAGTAAATTATTTTTAAAAATGCAAATTCATCATTTTCAAATTTCCTTCAAATTCTTAAGTTTTCTAAATATTTTTATATATTAATTTTTTTGTTACATAAGATATTTCTATTATTTTTATATACAATTTTTATAAACCAAACAGAATTGAATGTAATGATTGGGTATAAAGTTTCAGAAAAAGTAGCATTGCTAGTCAATAAAAATATCGGTCCGAATCGCCTCCGCCTAACGGAAGGACAACGGAGTCTCCCTCACCTCACCGTGCGCAGTCCAAATGCCGCACGATGTTCGAGCGACATTTGATCTGCGCGCAGGGCGGTGAGATGAGGGGGACAGCGGAAGGCGGAGGCGATTCGAAAATCGGCCGAAAGTTACATACACTTTATGTATGTTCACTTTGAACTGGAATTTTTAATTAATAATATATCAGTTACTTTTCGTGGTAATATATTATTATTAGATAAAAAGGTTTAAATTTTTGAGTATCTTTTTTTGAACATGGTTTGAACTTTCCATTTTTATGATATGATTTTTTTCGGATATTACTTACTTTTTAGAGTACAAATATATCACAAATATATATATTAAAAAATGATTTAAAAATATTATATAACAAAAGAGAGTGAAATACAGCGAAAGAGATGGGTTGGGATGGTGGAGGGGGGAGGGGAGGAGGTGCGGTGAGTCGAAGTTTGTGAGTGAAAGGTAAGACAGGAGAGAGGTGCATATGACTGCGGACAGAGAAGAAGAAGAAGAAGAAGACGTTACTTCATTTCTTATGAAAATCATCACTTTTCGACCACTTGTATGTGCAGAACAGCTTGACCGATTTAAAATTTGTTTAGCTCAAATTACTCGTGGCGATGCTACCTTTCAGGACATATAACGTTCGATTCAAAATTCTTTATATTTTAATAATTATATGCACTCGAAAAATGGACTTTGGTGGCTCGGGATAAGAGACTGTAGTGGCTTTCAGTTTTTGAACATAGCTGGAGACACTGCTCTGCGTCTCCTGATATTTGTACTTTTTGACATAAGATATATTATGCGGTTGTATTAATTAACTAACGACAATATACCTGGAAGTCCGATGTCTAATACTGTTTTCATAGATGAAGTTTCGCTCTCATAATCGAAATGATATAAGTACGTTGATTTGTAACCATCAGAAGACTTTTGCAGTTCAACTACATCCCTTATACCGCGTACGAAAAATTCATCTCCTAAGAAATACGAATAATTCATCAAAGTTTCCCGTGATATTTCTTTTTTTCCAAAATAGAAGGATCGTAATTCTTCGACGGTAGTTCCTATTTTAGGTAACGTGGATAATACATTTGCTAATAATCCGTTTTTAAAATCATTATTTAGTTTCTCTAAATCTTTGTCGCTTACATCTGAAACAATTTTAAAAATATTATTAGGTATATTGATCACTATTGACATATTGCTTGCTGAACGAATAATATTTCATGGGCATTTTGCTAAGAAATAATTGACTTCATAAAGTTATGGATAATATTTATCTTAAAAATAACACAATAAAATTTTTATTTTATTATAAAAATATATCAATTAATACATTCAAAACAATATGTATATTACTGTTAAATAAATATAAATAATATACATATTTTGTATTTTTTATTTAGTAGATTTAAATATTGGTGAACATACACAATCTATAAGAAAGCTATTTTAGAAGAAGTAATTATTTAATGTGTTGAAACATATATTTATTTTGAGATTTACTGAATTATTTAATAATTACAATTTTTATACGCGAACTTGATAATTGAGCAGTAAAAAGATTAATTTCTTAATATTATAATAACATTAAAAGTACATATTATGAAAATCTTTTTATAAATGTTAACAGCGTATTTGTTAATTATCAAAATTATATTATTTTTAATAGGTTACGCTGTAAAAATAACTCATGTAAAGAAATAAAAGGAGAACAATTAAGGATATATTTATTAAAAGCGTGCACGCATGCGACAAAATGTAATACTTTTCTACCTCCGAAAAAGTTGCTTTTTATAAGAAATATTCCCTCGTTACGAGTGAATCCTAAAAGGAAGGGTATTTGAGTCCCGCGGCTTAGATATTCTTTTGGATGTTCAGGAAAAACTGGATTCGGTGACTTGCTGTCCAGAGTGGGCGTGAAGCTTAGAGTAAAACTCAATCTCTCCTGGTGATATTATAAATGAAAAATTGTTCATCATATATATCAAAATTCTTAGAAAAAACCTTTTTAAATAAAGAAAAACATATGCCAAATGTATAAAAAGGTATCAAATA